CAAAGTAAGGTCATAGGATTGAGCCAAGTATTGAACTACTTAACATAAGAATCAGGTTAGTGGTGAAGGAGCCAAGGCGCTTTTCTATCTGAGAGAGGTCCGCGAGAGAAAGGGGACATGGACCCTCACAATGCCTTCCGCTCAGCCACTTCCCGGAGAGGGTAGATGGAAACCAGCTGACTGGGGGTTCTGTGAGAGTGAGTGTATGGAGGGCTCATGGGATCCTGTGGTCCTGGGTGAGTGGAAGGGTGGGCGGAAGGAGGGGCGGGAGGAGGAGCGGAAGGAGGGGTGGGAGGAGGGGCAGGAGACAACGGCTGAACAATGGAAGCCTGTCTCTGATAAGGTGGAGGCTTCTTAGCAGGCTCGAAAGAAGGGAAACCTTCAGAGTCAGGAGGGGGGTTCAGAGAAGGATTTGGCTGGTTTTGAGACTGGTTTAGAGGCTAGTAGGACCTGTGCAGGGGAACAGAAGGTACAGAGGGAAGGTTTGGTGCAGAGATAAGAAAAGGATTGGACATAGAGAAGTTCCTTCCATTTACCGGTGCACTCACAGAAATTGTATAAATCCCTTAAAATATTGGGATCAAAAGTGCTATTAAGTGGCCATTTGGAGGCATTGTCTAATGGATATTGGGGCCAGGCCTGAGTACAGAGAAAAATGAGCTTTTGAGACTTAAGATAAGGTGTGAGGCGTAGGGGCCCAAGGTTGGCCAGGAGACATCCCAATGGGGAGTCTGAAGGAATTTGGGATGGTCCAATTCCCATAATGAGGCCTGACCTGAGAAGAGATATGGCGGGCATCCCCAAAATATCAGGTCCTCAGGAGACAGAGAAATGTGGAACACACCACCCAGAGGGAACGTCTTCACCACGGGGTGGGGGTGGGGAGTCCACAGTCCCTAGTGGGGAACCCAGTTTCCGGGACGAGAGCGAGCTGAGAGAGAGAGATCATAGCTCTGCATGCAAGGAGGACTCACCGAGGGAGAGAGGACCTTGAGGGAAGATTGGCTGGTAGTGTATGGCAGTTGGAGGTGCGCTGGAGCTGAGGAACTTCCCCATGAGCTAGTGAGAGAGTGGCGTTTTTTAGGATCGGGGGTCCCAGTAAAGCAGGTCAGATCCCGGAGGAAAGCTGGGAGAGCAAGGTTAGTGCCAGGAATGCACCCCGATCCGAGTCACGGCACCAAATGTTAGCAAAAACACTGCACAAAGAAAACTCACGTCCAAGGGCAGGGTTTAATGGCAGGTACCAGGTAGCGCAGGAAGAGCAAAAAAGGGGTGGTTCAGGCCAGGCGTGACCTTTTTATAGAAGAGGGAGGGTAAGGTGTTGGTGCATGCGGGGATCCCTGATGGGGGTGGAGCTTGTCTGGGAGCATGGGAAACCTTGTTAAAGGGAGGGGCTGTTTACTGGGAATGGCTCCATTTTCCAAGAGGTGCTGCCAATTTATAAAATGGCGGCATTATTGTTCTATCAATCCTGTCATCTATTCCTTCCAGATGGTGTCTTGTACCACCAACTAAAGTTTTTGTCTCTATAGTTCCATTGTCACTGGATTTTTGCTACGGAAACTGATAAAGGATCTGTTATGCTTAGTAAGAACTATGAACTCTCAGAGTCTCATTATTGTTTTTCTTTTGGTAGGACTGAGGTTTGAAGCCAGGGCTTCACACTTGCAAAGCAGTGCTCTACCACTTGAGCTCCATCTGCAACCCATTTTGGTTTTTTTGGAAATGAGGTCTCATGAACTATTTGCTTGGGCTGGCCTAGAACTGTGATCCCCCAATCTCAGCCTCCCAAATAGCTAAGATTATAAGCATGAGCCACTGGTCCCCAGCTTCAGACTTTATTTTACACATGAAAAAAATTTGGGGCCTGAAGAGGAAAATGATATCAATCACTAAAGAAATATTGAGGGTCAATTATGAAGTGAGTACCACAGTGATAATACGGGCCCTGCCTGCCTGTAAACTACACACCAGTAGGAAACACTGAAGCATATAGTCAGTCATTTTCCAAGGTCATGGATTAATGGCATGCTTGGAAAGAGAGCCAATGGATCCTGACAACAGGCACATCTTTATTTTGTGATGTACTTATGTCTGTCAGGTCCTCAGTTTTGTGGCTTTTGCTTTGACCCTGACATCTACTGAGACATCGTTGGTCTTACTATCTAAAGTGTAGAACATTTAGATAGAGACTCTAAGCAGTCCTGCCAGCTCAGACTCCCATCTGTCAACAGTAGAATTCCCAGAACCTGTACACTGGCACCTCTGGTAAGGACCAGAAGGACCAACTGTCCTAGAAGATGGAAGATTGGCAACATTCCTATCCACCACTGCCACCTAATGACTCTTTGGGGTACTACCAGTTCTTGTTCTACTTTCCAATTTTTGAACTCTGCAATTCTGGCACCACCCAGAGGATTGGTATAACCTCTGCCATTCCTTTCCATCTTGAGAACCTGAGAGTCTACAATCTCACCTTACAAGTGAGATTTTTTATTAATTACAGAGCAAGAAATGTAACTGATTACAAATCAATGAAACTTTTACAAGATTTTCCAAAAAAACCCAAAAAACAAACAAACAAACAAACAAAAACTAGACAGAAAACACACCCAGGAGACTGAAAAGCACAATGTAAATGTGAAGAGTTTGTCCAGTGGGTAGCCTGCAGCCCTGCAGCTCTGCTGGAGAAGGCTCATCTCTGTTAATACCTGTTATTCTTTTAGGGGTGGCTATCCTGCAATCACATACCATGTTCTTTTTTTTTTTTAATACTGGAGTTTGAACTCAGGACCTGCACCTTGAGCTACTCCACCAGCCCTTTTTTGTGATGGGGTTTTTTGAGATAAGATCTTGCAAACTATTTGCCCAGGCTGGCTTTGAACCACCATCCTCCTGATCTCTGCCTCCCAAGTACCTAGGATTACAAGCATGAGCCACTGGCGCCTAGCTTCACATTCTTGATCAGCTCCCCAAAGCACACTTTCATTTGATTCTATTTCAAATTATAAAATGTATGTGCTTAATGGAAACCTTTTCAGCTGCCATTTGTTTCAGTATTGTGAAATAACCAAAAATTGCCTTAGTGAGTAATTTGGTATTCTCAGCAGTGCACCAAATTTAGCTATAGTTATATGAAATACAGAAGATAGATCAATATCCAATGCTAATTAGAAAGAGGGTTCGTTTGTTCACTCAGTCACATGCCTTCCCATGTACCAAGTAGAACCCTGGTTTCCCTTGACCATCTAGATTCATGCTTACACTCCCTGGACACACCACAGGTCCAGTGCTAGGTCCCATGGCCTTCTTAAGGGCCACAAAAATTTGAGATGAAAGTGTTCATTGATTTATACGTAAGCACAAAATAAGAACTGAAACTTAGGACTGGTGGAGTGGCTCAGCTGTTAAGAGTGCCTATATAGCAAGCATGAGGCCCTGAGTTCAGACCCCAGTGCTGCTGAAAAAAGTAAACAAAACTGATAATTAATTTAACAACTATGAAAGTGTACCACTTATTTTTAAATTTAGATTCATAACAATTATGTCACATTTGAGAATAATTTGAAGGACAGACTTTTCTCCCTATGTAAGACTTTCTCAGTATGTGTGATAAGCATCAAGAAACCAGTCATAGTCAACCATAAATTAAATGAGTTATAAATAGGCAATTTAAAACTAGAAATTCTAAAAGCAGTTAAAATTTTACAGTGAAAAGGTTTTTTTTTTTTTGTTTGTTTGTTTTTTTAACTTTTGCATGTGGGGCATTCATAGAGACCTGATATAATATAGAGTAGATCTGTGGTGGTTTTAAAGATTCTGAATGATCTTTAAAAATTTCTCCAAAGACCTAAGGTTACTGTCAGAAGTGTCCCGCCTGCTGCCTTTAAATTGTCAATTTTTCAAATTTTATAAGAAATGAAATCTTAAAAGTTCTTAAGAAATTTATTTTCTATTGTTATAATCCATCTTAGTTTAATTCTGCTTTCAATAATCTATCATCGAGTTAAGATCCCGCACCAGGAAGGAGTGAAGAGTGACTGTGACCACCAGCCCTGTAATGTGTCTCTTCTGCAGTTTGAAGCCAACAGCTCTTAAGAGATGGTGAAGGGGTCATCTTCTCTCTCCTCTTTTCAGAGAGTGTTAAGAAACCATTACACCAAATTTTAAGTCCATTTTCTTGACAAAAAGGCCTGAGGAGTTTTTCTTTTACCACACAAATAACATCAGTTGCCTCTCTTGTAGCAGTTTGTGTTTCTATACAGGAGAAACTAGAAATTAGTCTCTAGAGTGTTCCCGATTGCTCCCAATGTGCGGTGCTCCTAAGAATAAGCTCCAATTCCTTTTTCCGCTAAGCGTTGACCTGAGGCCCACTTCCAAGCATCATGTGCCTTCTCCATGCTCCTCCCTGTCTTTCTATGTGATGCATAATAATTCTGCTATTGACCATGAGCCAGCTGTCTCTTAGGGAAGTAGATCTGCCTCCCGTCACCTCGTGGTGACACTGTTCTCAGTTGCTCTCCTCACAGGTAGATGACAGCTTGTGTGCCTGGAATCCCTTCTAAAACAGTACATTGATTGACCTTTCCCTGGGATCAATATTCCCTGAAAGTCGTTGCTGTTACCTCCTATTTACTGTTTCATCTTAGTAAAATGGAGCTCCCATCCATTCTCCATGGATGCTTCTGTCTGCCTGTCTATCTATCTATCCCTCTACCTCCCCGTCTCTCTCTATCTTTCTATTTCTTATCTATCTCTCTCCTTAGATGGGGGCTTGTATGTTGCCAACACTGTTCTGGAACACCTAGGCCCAAGCCAACCTCCTGTCTCAGCCTCCTGAGTCGTGGGACTTACAGGCACACACTCCCATACCTGGCCTTGATGTGTCTTACTGGTCTTTGTGTCCTAGACTTTCAAAAGGAATGAATTAAGAAGAGGTATGATGTTACTAAGAAGGGCCAAAGAAAAGGTATTATTAGGTAACTGAGGATAACCAATTCATGAGGCCCTGTCAGAGCGACAAGTCCCTGCCCTTTCAGCCTAATTTGGAATGTGGTTCTGTAGCCCTATCAGTCTCTTTTTGCCCTTGGCAGGAGCCTCTGCTGGAAGAGACGGTGATAGTCCTGGGCCACTTGTTTTTGGTCTTCATGCTGGGTCTGAGTATGAACCCACTGATCCTGGCTCAGAATGACTACAGGTACATAAACTTCCTGAACAGGCACCATGAGGCCAATCCAAGGCACCGGGATGCAATATACTGTAAAACCATGATGGAGAGATGAAAACTGATTTCCTCACCCTGGAGAGACACCAACACTTTTATTCATGGCGTCAAGAATAACATCAAAGCCATCTGTGGAGATAAGGGAAGCCCTTACAGAGAAAACCTCAGAATAAGCACATCTCCTTTCCAGGTCACCATTTGCAAGCATAAAGGAGGGTCCCCCTGGCCTCCTTGCCGGTACCAAGCCATGGAGGATTCCAGGCACATTGTCATTGGCTGTGAAAATGGTTTACCTGTCCATTTTGAAGAGTCCTTTATCCGTTCATAACCAGAAGGTCACTGGCTGCAGTTGGCTCTGATTTCCTTCCCTTGCATTTCTCCTCCACACCCCAGAATATTGGTGGCAACATTCATTGCTAGCAGCCCAGAAAATGTTGTCTCTGGATCTTTTGTTTTCTGTTTTACAACAGATGTTTAGCAAATAAAAATGTCTCTGAAACCAGTAAGAATCAGTCTTCTCACTGATTCTTGGCTTGGCATATTGGTGTTTCCCTATTGGCTCTATCCAGTTGCTTCTTGAAAGGATAGGATGGAATGGAAATGCCCTTTTCCTTGCCCATCATTTTATTAGCAGTCAGTGGGGGGGAGAGGAGTAGTTTAATTTTTTGTGAAGGCCAGGATGATGCTAAATGGTTCTCTCTGTAAATCTATAGAAAAATCCAAGGTTTGTAACCACTAGGAAGAATTTTCAAGAGAGGCAAATTGTTTTATCTAACAAATAAAAAGTTGGTATTACTTGTATAAATATGAGACCTTGGGGAAAAAAGTTTTGGAGCAAGTACCAATACGCTAAAGGTGAATTACGTGTACTCTCTGTCACACACACTCCAGCACAAGAATACTGAAAGCCATTTAGATGGGCATCTTTTTTAGGCAGGCAGGAAGTAACTTTGATGTTGGTTTGAATGGAATACTCTGAAGATAGTCCCATGCTGTAGTCATTTTGCACAGAGTTCAAACACTTAGCTACATTATCTTCTCTTTACTCTTTTACTTATCGATGCATGACAACCATTAGGGCTTAGAGAAGTTTTAGAGAGATTTTGAGCTTTATTCTTCATTCTTCTTCAACTAGATTTGTTTTCAAGTCCAAATGAACTTAGGTCAACACACATTCTTGCAAAGTGTACTAATCAACCTACAAATTCAGTGGCTGACTCCCCATTCTCATTTCTACAAATAGATGCCCAGACATTTGATTTAGAAAGTAGTTGCTAGTATATCACATTTACAAATCACAAAGTCTGCTGTCTTGTCAACATCTGATTAGAGTGGTTGTAGTATTCCCTATGGTGGCTGAGCCTCTCCTGCTGCCTGTATTGCCCTGAAATGGGCCAAAAGCCTGGGTTCCCCAATACACAGGTTATAGACCAGTGTGTAGGTGCTACCTGGGAGGCCCCGGCCTCCCTGACAGTATTCAAATTTAGGAAGGGGACTGAGAAGTAGGTTGCTGATACATGCTCAGCACAGGAATCTCTCCATCTTGACTTAGCCTATTTCAAAATTGAAAACACTATCATTTCCTAAGAAAGTTGGAAGAAGAGTGTTACAAGCCTCTCTTGTTAGAAAATATGCCTTATTATAAAATCTCAAAAGCTCTCAGGAAGTGAGAAAAATCCAATGTCTTGGTAGAATATTTGGACCCTGTTCTCAAGTTCTGCAGCCAGTGTTAGGTCAAGATGGAGCAGAGTCACTCCAGATCATCTCCCCACTCAAAGCCTTGTCAGGGAAAGTCAAAGGCATGAACCATTACAATGGTTATACAATGGATGTGAAAACACTCATCATCTTTAAACTTCTATTTGCATACTGTTGTGGTGTGAGGGGAAATGGCTCCTTCATGGGAAATCACACCACAGATGGGGTGCCTCCTTACCTGTTGATGAGCCAGCAGCTGCTCTACCATAACCAAAAGCTGTTGAAAGTAAAATGTCAAAGTACAGCCAAGTCATTTTATCTCGTGAGTCATTGATGTTACAGTCAGCTGTGATTGTTGACTGTGCAAGGAAAGGAAAAGGAAAACTCCAAAATTTTAAAGAATTATGACATGCAAGGAAGAAAATTCCATGTAAATGGAGAGGAAAATTTCCCTAGGGATCCAGCATAAATTCCAGTTGTTAAGATTTCATAGTTTAAAAACAGAATCTCTAATTTCTCAGGAATACAATTAACTCTGTAAAATAAAGAGGGGTCAATAATATCTAGTACAACTCATTGTAAAAATTATTTTATCATGATTGGAGAAAGTAGAGGAAAACAAGAAAAATAATAATTGTTAACATTTACTGAACACTGACCATATGCTAGGCATTGTGATAATTCTTTCCATTAATTGTATCATTTATTCTTCACACAATCCCCAGAGGTAGGTATTATTAGGGTCGTTTAACTTGTGAGGAAATAATACTGAAAGAGGTAGGGAATTTCCCTGAGGTCACACTGTTAATCAGTTTTCCATCTCTATGACAAAATACTTGAGGTAATTAAAGAGAGGAAAGGTCTATCCTGGCTCATGGTTTCTGATGTTGCAGAACATGGTTTCTTGATCCATTGCTGTTGGGTCCATTGTGAAGTGGTGTATCATGGCAGGAAAGGATGGCAGAGGTGCTGCTCCTGGTGGCATGGAAGCAAAGAGAAAGAGGAAGGGCTGGGTTCCAATATCCCCTTTAAGGGCATATGCTCAGTGTCCTAACTATTTCCCACTAGGCCCTGTTTCTTAAAAGTTCTACCTCCTCCCAGTAACACCAACCTGGGGACCAAGCTTTCCACACATGGGCAAAATTCAAATCCTATCCATAGCAGTTAGTGTGGCAGACCTAGGGCTTTGGGATCATACTGTCACTGTTCTTTCTAAAAGTCAGCATGGAGGAGTGGCTTAAGCAGTGGAGCACCCACCTAGCAAATGCAAAGCCCTGAGTGCAAACCCCATTACTGCCAAATGAAAAAAAATTATAAAAAAAAGAAGGTGGAACAGTGAAAAAGCCTTTGGGGGGAAATCCTGACTAAACAGTATGCATTGCAATGATTTGGAGAGCACTTCATTTTCTCTTATGGAACCTGGAGATGTACCCATTGATGTGCACATTGGACTGCCATCCTCAGATGCTTTTCTGTGTTGTGTTTGCTCATTGGATTAGTGTAATTGAGGCATGCATTTGCTCTTGCCTGAATAATTGAGCTTCTCTGAAGCTACTTTCCTCGCTAACCCATATTTTTGGTCACAAAGAAGCAGGATGAGAGAAAGTAGATACAAACTGTGTAAGATTACAAGTGGTACAAGAAAAACAACCCAAGGTACATTGCTCTGCTAAAGTTAAAACTCAGGTACTAAATGTACCTTCAGAGGTGTGTCCATTGGTCTTGGAGCGAGGAATAATTAAGCATCAGCTCTCTCTGCCACCTTCCTCTCAGAACCACTTTGCTGTGGTTCTGTAGGCACAGGATTAGGACATAGATCTTCATTTCTTTTGTGCAAAAGCAAAAGGTGGCTGTGAATATAGGCAGTGACGTTTAAAAGAACAGTAGTTATGTTTGACAGTGTTTATGATCACTAATCAAAAGATAGGCTGTAGGTGGAATGAAGTACAGGTGTCTCATGAAGCATTTCAGTCACTTGCACAGTGGCTTATGCCATCATGAAGCAGGACCTTTGAAAAGAAAGGACAGTGATATCCATATACATCACACCAGGAGTTCCGCTGGGGAGAACCCTTGGACTGCACAAGTGGAGATGGGTCTGTCTGACTCTCAAAAAACTAGCCTTTCTACTTTGGATTGCTTACTTCTTTTTTTTTTTAATTTTTATTTTTTTATTATTCATATGTGCATACAATGCTTGGGTCATTTCTCCCCCCTGCCCCACCCCCTCCCTTATCACCCATTCTGCCCCCTTCCTCTCCCCCCCACCCCCTCGATACCCGGCAGAAACTATTTTGCCCTTATCTCTAATTTTGTTGTAGAGAGAGTATAAGCAATAATAGGAAGGAACAAGGGTTTTTGCTGGTTGAGATAAGGACAGCTATACAGGGCATTGACTCACATTGATTTCCTGTGCGTGGGTGTTACCTTCTAGGTTAATTCTTTTTGACCTAACCTTTTCTCTAGTTCCTGGTCCCCTTTTCCTGTTGGCCTCAGTTGCTTTTAAGGTATCTGCTTTAGTTTCTCTGCATTGAGGGCAACAAATGCTAGCTAGTTTTTTAGGTGTCTTACCTATCCACATATCTCCCTTGTGTGCTCACTTCCTCTTGAATCACGGATGCTTTTTCTTTGCTCTTTAACCCTGTAAAACTCAATTACAATCACAGTTCATGTCAATCCCAGGACTGAGAGCCAGAGGGCAGCATCTCCCACCTCCACCCCTTAAGCCCTGGCTGGAGGGACGCAATTCTACGCATTCTTTATCTTGTCTTCCTTCCTTCCTTCCTTCCTTCCTTCCTTCCTTCCTTCCTTCCTTCCTTCCTTCCTTCCTTCCTTCCTTCCTTCCTCACTCCTTCCCTCCCTCCCTCCCTCCCTTCTTCCCTCCTTCCTCCTCCTTCTTTCTTTCTTCCTTCCTTCTTTCCTTCTATTCTCTCTCTCTCTCTCTGACTCTGTCTCTGTCTCTGTCTCTCATTAATAATTATTCCACTAGCAGAATAGTGAGAGGAAAGGGTAGACTGAAATTTACACTATTCTCTTTTCTCCACCTCCCTAAATTCCTAGATGTAAGGTATTAATTTTAGTGCATGAACTTTCTTTGATTCCAGTCCATCCAAACTATTGGAATTGAAATTCCCAGGGAACCAAACACTCCCCAAAGATCATCACAGGACAGACAGCAACAAGTGTTTGTGGAGTTACCGATCCTCTTTCCATCCTGTGAACCCACAGGTCTGGACAACCAACTACTCAGCTCTGCCCTGACTTATACGATATTGGCTACGCCAACTGCTCTCTAGAAAAGAGAAAGGCTTTTGTTTTCTGAGGAGTCCCTGTTGGAAAACTCTTCACACTTGGGGAAAAAAGGGTGGGAAAAGTTGGGAGCAGGGAAGAGTGAGTAGATGGCAACCATAAGGAAGGTGAAGGAGGAGATTGGAGTGGGGGAAATGTCGGTTCACCATTCTCAGCACTTCTCTCCAGTGCCCAGTTCTTACTGCCCCTTCTCCTGCTCCTTCTTTCTCTGTAGGCACTTCTGGGTATGATGGCTGTACAGAGGACCCGGCCATTACTTCTGCTTTTGCTGCTGACCCTGCTGGGGCTAGGGCTGGTGCAGCCCTCCTATGCCCAGGACCGCATGCACCAGCGGTTCCTGCGACAACATGTGCACCCTCAGGAAACAGGTGGCGATGACAGCTACTGCAACTTAATGATGCAAAGACGGAGGATGACCGTGAATCATTGCAAGCGCTTCAACACTTTCATCCATGAAGACATCTGGAACATTCGTAGCATCTGTAGCACCACCAACATCCAGTGCAAGAATGGCAGGATGAACTGTCATGAGGGTGTAGTGAAAGTCACAGACTGCAGGGAGACAGGAAGTTCCAAGGTCCCCAACTGCAGATATCGAGCCATGGCAAGCACTAGGCGAGTTGTCATTGCCTGTGAGGGTGACCCAGAGGTGCCAGTGCACTTTGATGCATAGATGCCACCCCCCAGGCTGGCCACTGATTTACTCTGTCATGTATTTGATAAGTCACAAGCTGTGTCTCCTCTGCTCATTTCCTATACTTTTTCTCCATATAATCCATTCTACTAAATACATTACATACAAGAGAAATGGAGGCATAAACTGATAATGAGTCCAGGCTTTTCTGTAGTAAGCTTTCTATAATACCGGGCAGCTTAGCTCTCTCAGATCCTATCCTGGGGAATTTAGTCATTACATGTATGCATGTAGTATTTCAACCACTTCAAAGTGTTTTTTTCCAAGTTAGCTCACTTTGACACCCCAGCTCCACTTCGGTGCTAATGATGCTGATATATACAGAAGCTCAAAGTGAAGGGATTACTGAAAGACGGTCAAGTTAGGGGAAGACTGAGACAAAAATCCAGTTGAACTGGCTGCTCATACAGAACTCTCCCCACTTCCCAAGGAGTGCTCTGAGAATGTCTGTTCTTGTCTTCCCAAATGTCAGCCATTGAGACAACCATTTAAAGTTTGGAAATAACAAACTGGAAGAATTAAAGCTCTGAGTTATTTGGCATTATTGTTATGTTTGTGTCTGATAAGATCAAGAAATTATATTACACATTTTCTCCTTTTCTTCCCAGACTTATGAATCACCTTAGTAAGTCAGGGTGTTAAAAAAAAATGTACTATCATAAATACTCATTAACTCTTCCTCACTGAATGATTCTTCTAGCTTTCCTTATAATAAAGGACTTTCAGAATCATGTAAGGACTGTGCTGTGGGACTATTTCTTGCTCTCCTGTCCTCTTTCAGTTCTTCCTGAGCCTACAAATGTGTGCACCTTAGAACCCTCACACACTGTGGTGGAAGAGCCCTGCCCTCAGATCCACGACCACAACACAGAGGCATCTGTCTTATTTACTCCACAGTAAGTAATTCCTTTCAGAGGCAAGCCTTGTAGCAAGGACCCTGAGGCTGCTTTTGCTAAAATCTCTGACCCCTCACTTGGGCCTGCAGATGCCCTATGGGTAACTAAAAATAGTATGAAAATTCACTTAAAATAATCCTTGTTTTGGGCTGGGCACCTGTGGTTTATGCCTGTAATCCTACCTACTCAGGAGGCAGAGATCAGGAGGATTGTGATTCAAATCCAGCCAAAGCAAATAGTTCAAGAGAGCCTATCTTATAAAAAACCATCACACACACACACACAAAGGCTGGTGAAGTGGTTCAAGGTATAGGTTCTGAGTTCAAACCCCAGTACCACACAAATAATAGTGGTTTCTTTAACCACAATTATAAAGTGGTCACTTAAAAGAGTGACACAGGACAGGAGTGGTGGCTCATGTCTATAATCCCAGTGATTTGGGAGGCAGAGATTATGAGGATCACAGTCATAGGCCAGCCTGAGCAAAACGTGAGCAAGACCCCATTTCCACAGAGAAGCTGGGCATGGCACAGTCGAGGCCAAACCTGGGCAAAAGAACACAAGACCTTATCAAAAAATAACAGTAACCTGAAAGTAAAAATGGCTGGAGGCATGGGCAAGGGTCAAGTGGTAGAGCACCTAGGTCTAGAGTTCAAACCCCAGTACTGCCAATAAAAACAGACTGACACAGATACCTAAACAAACCTTAACTCTGTTAGAACTCAGTTGTCTAAATGGTCAAAAACTGACAAAATTTGCAGAAACAATAAGCAATTATCTTGATGAAACACATTATCTTTTTGCAAAATGTTACTAAGAGCAGAACAATATTTTAAAGACACCTGTTGCCTTAGGCATTGAGAATTGGAGAATTAGTCCTAGTTTACATCACTGTTTTCAATTTTGACCTTAGAAAATTCTTTGATAACTCTTAAATTATAGCCAATTTAATCCCATGCATAAACTGTATAAATTATCTTTTATGTGCTTTAAGATTTACTTTGAATCTTTTCAAACTTTTAGCCTTTTTTTAAAAAATAAAATAGCTCTTAGTAGCCTTTCAATGAAGATCCAGGAAGATAGGAATCTCAAATCATCTGTCTGTACAATTTATGAATTATTTATGAACAATTTATGAATTAGCAGAAAAATTTTTCACCAGAAGAAAAAAAATATTTGTTAATAGGCCAAAATATATTGCAAAGGATAGTTGAATCCAAATTATGATTATTACAGAATGAAACAGATTTAGATCACCTGTCTACATCAAACCAGGCAGTTTTAGACAGCTTGTTTTTACTTCCTGGTTCTGACTGAACCTGGGTCATTAAAAGATTAGGGAAATTTGGGAGGGGAGGCAAAAGTAATGTCTTCCACCTGCTCTGTTCCACTACAGAAATCCAAAATGAGGGGTTGGTGGAGTGGCTCAAGTGGTGGAGTACCTGCCTGACAAGCATGAGTACTGAGTTCAAACTCTAGTGCTACCAAGGAAAAAAAAGTTTCCAGAACTCCAGAATGAATTCCTCTTCTGTGTTTTCAGCCAGTACCTTTTTTCCTTCTCTTGGGAGGGCCTCACAATATACCAGAAGAATAATGTTACATGGCTTCATTGAAAGTCCCTGTTACTGTTAGTAAGCCTGAAAGGGATAAGAAGGAATGAGATGTCTCAACGGACCCCACCCCCCTGTTGGAGAAACCGGTACCAGATGCCCCGTGTAGATAAGATAAGCAGGGCAGCAGGGCTCGGCTCGGGGGTATAGAATGTGAGGAATGTGAGAAGGTTGCGAAAGGTGACAGGATGTACGTGCAAGATGTGCTCTGCCTGCTTGCTCAATGTTGATAACGAAAATACGCGTGCAACTGCTGACCTTTTACTCTGTGTTACAAAATCATTGGTTAAGTGCTGCGCGGGCTTTTGCTGTAACGACAGGTAGTGGTCTATATAAGATTTCCCCTAAAGAGGCTCAGGGTCGTCGTGTTTTCCTAACCGGTCCTGCGTGTCCGTGTGGGAGCTCGACCCTGGCTAGCCAGCCCAATAAACTCTGCTTTGTTGATTGCATTCACGCCTGGCTCTCTGTCTCTCGGGGGAATAGGATTCCCGTTCCTAACATTTGGAGGTCCCACCGAGATTCCATTTTCTCGAGAGACAGAACTTGCCCGCGAGAAAGCAGGGGCAATCCCAAGTCCTAGGCATTGGGAGGGGATCCAAGACCCTCATTTGGAGGAACTTGAGTGTTCCATTTGGGCCGCGGCGGGGATTCGGCCAATCCCCAGGGAGTTCTATTCTGAGAATTTCATTAGGAGGACCGCAGGGTCCTGCCGGGAGAGGCTCCTCTCATTTGGGCTCGAGCATTTTAGGAATCCTGGGCCAGTGAAGAACTAATTGACTAGTCGACCAACCACCCGTCAAGTGGACGCCTTTCGGCCTGATATCCAGTCGGACGGTGAGGATGTTGAATGGGGTGCGCACCAGTGTGAGAGAAGGACCGGTCCGAGCGAGTGCTGGAGAGTGTTGTGTGTGTGTGGAATTATTGTTGCCTTTACCCTTTTTGTTCTATCTCTCTTGGTGTTTGATTCTCCTTCCACAATGGGACAGGGACAAACAACCCCAAAGTCTTTGATCCTTTCTCACTTTTCAGAAGTTAAAGAAAGGGCCTTAAATGCGGGTCTGGTCATCAAGAAAGGTAAGTTCAACACCTTTTGTTCTGCAGAGTGGCCCACCTTCGGAGTCGGGTGGCCCATTCAAGGTTCCCTCTCCCTAGACATGATCACTAAGGTTAAAGCAGTCATTTTTCGGCCAGGCAATCGAGGCCATCCAGACCAAGCCTTACATTTTGGTTTGGGAGGATCTGCGAGGAACCCCCCCCCCTTGGTTAACAGCTTTTCTGACTCACCCCTCCAGTTCGGCTCCCGGGGCTAAAACCCCAGTCACGCCCACCTTGGTCATAAAGGAGGAGGAGAAACTTCCTCTTCCCACCCTGACCGGTCCTCAGAATAGGGCACCTCCCTTACCATCTCCGGTCTTACCAGAGAGTTCCCCCCTTTACCCATCCCTCGCAGGGGCAGAGGAAGATCGGCCGCCTCCATACAGGACTCCCCCTGGCCAAGCCAGTGCCCCAGAGGAGGAAATTTCCTCATCCTCCTCGACAGGACTGGCAGCAGGAGGAGGAATGGGTCGAAGACTTTGCCCCCGAGGGGTTCAGGAAAGGGAGGGAGAAGATGGGCCCTCCTCATCAACACAGGGGGAAGAAACTGTCCCTACACTTCCAGTCCGGATGATAGGCCAAGGGGGACCGGGAGGGGGGCAACAGTTTCGGTACTGGCCCTTCTCCTCCAGTGATCTATATAACTGGAGGACGCAGAACCTGCCCTTTTCGGAAGACCCTAAGTGTCTCATAGATCTCTTGGAGTCCATCATGCATACACACCGTCCCACTTGGGATGACTGTCATCAGCTGCTCAATACTCTTTTTACGACAGAGGAACGAGAGCGCATCCTCAACGAAGCAAGAAAAAACGTCTTGGGGGATAATGGGAGACCCAAAACTCTCCAACCGGCCATAGACGAGGCCTTCCCCCTCTGCCACCCTGATTGGGATTTCGGGACCACAGAAGGTAGGGAGCGTCTCCGAATCTATCGCCAGACTCTTATGGCCGGTCTCCGAGCGGCCGCTAGAAGGCCCACCAACTTTGCAAAAGTAAAAGCAGTCGTCCAAGGGGAAAACGAAAGCCCGGCCAGTTTCTTAGAGCACCTCTATGAGGCATACCGTCAGTACACCCCTATTGACCCTGAGGACGAGCTCCACCGGTCTGCTGTGGTGCTCTCATTCATTAATCAGGCAGCTCCAGACATTAGGAGAAAACTCAATAAACAGGAAAACTTAGGGGAAATGACCATTAGGGAAATGCTACAAATAGCAGAGAAGGTCTTTACTGCTAGGGAAACTCCAGAAGAAAGGGAGGAAAGGCAGAGAAAGGAAGACAGGGAGGCCCAGGAGAAATTGAGAAAGGAGGACAGGGAGTTCCAGGCTAAGGAAAACCAAAAGCAACAAAGAGAAATGGCCCATATCTTCCTAGCGGGTGTCCGGGACCAACCCAGGGGAGGGGGCCACGCCAGGACCCCGGATAAGGAACACTGTTTTTACTGTAAGGAAACTGGGCATTGGAAGAGAGAATGCCCTAAGTTAAAGGGAAGAAGAGGGTTTGGAAGAAGACCGGGGGATAAAAGGGAAAGGGAACGAGCAGTAGAGCAGGCCAGAGTCCTCCTAGCCGGAGAAGAGGACTGAAGGAGACGGGGCTCAGACCCCCTCCCCGAGTCTTGGGTAACAGTACATGTGGAGGGGAAGCCGATGGGGTTCATGGTGGATACCGGCGCCCAGTATTCGGTCTTAAACAAGGCACATGGACCTTTGAACAGGGAACGGACAAGTGTCGTTCAGGGGGCCACCGGTACACAGTTATGTACATGGACTACCAAAAGAAAGGTAAACTTAGGAAAACACCAGGTCACACACTCCTTCTTGGTCGTTCCTGAGAGCCCCGCTCCCCTGCTCGGACGGGACCTACTCACCAAAATAGGGGCCCATATCCATTTTGAACCAGATGGAATAATTGTGACTGATCGAGAGGGAGCCCGATACATGTCTGTCCCTATCATTGGCTGACAACATCGTCTGTTTGAGAGTCAACAGGAGCCAGGAGGGGACATGGCCAATGGGTAAAAAGATTTCCCACGGCCTGGGCAGAGACTGCGGGAATTGGGCTCGCCAAACACCTCCCTCCCGTAGTTATACAATTGAAGGCTTCCGCTCTTCC